TCCCAAGTGAGCCATGGGCTGGCCCTTATGCACAGCACTTTGATGGTTTTCATTAATTGCCCACATTTTTATTTTATCTTGTCTTATTTTTGGTGGCTGGCTGATGCAGGGCATCTGAACCCGTGGCCTTGGTGTTATAAGTCTGTGCTCTAACCAACTGAGTTAACCAGCCAGCCCCCCACATATTTAAAATAAAAGACTGTATGTAAAATTGTTGCTGTCTGGCTAGGAGTAAATTGATGGGTCATATGGTAGTTCTGTTTAACTTTTTGAGGAACCACGTACTGCTTCGACATAATGGTTAGAAAGCTTTTTTCTGTGTGGACAGCATTCTGGTGACAACCAGTGGTGGCTTGGATCCTCATGGGGGCAGTAAAGACGAGTGAAGTAACTACACTGTGACTCTATTTCAGAGTGAGAGTCCACAAGACCATGTGTGGGCAGGATGAGGAGGATGGCTAATGTCTTGTCCATCTTTCCAGTTACTCATGTCGAAAACCTTGTATTCATCCTTGACAAGAGTCTCACTCTCAAATTCCATATCCAATTCATCTGCAAATCCTATTTGTTTCCCCTTCAAAATTAATCCAAAATAGGGCTGGCTGGTTAGCTCAGTTAGTTAGAGCACAGCCTTGTAACACCAAGGTCAAGGGTTCAGTTCCCCATTCCCACCAGCCAGCCAGCCCCCCCCAAAAAATAATAATAATAATAGTAATCCAGAATCTGAGTTCGTCTAGTTTCTCTGCTTCAACCCTCATCCCTCCAATAGTCTTTTTCCTGCCCACCTGCCCGAAAGATCCTATTAACACATGAGTCAGGGCATGTCATGCCCCTAGAACACTCCAGTGGCCTCTCACTTTATCAGAGTAAAAGACAAGTTCTTCATTGGTCTGGGTTGCTTTTCCCCCAAACACCCTCAGGGCTCCCTCCCTCACCTTTAGGGTCTTTACTCAAATGTCACCACCGAAGACCCTGGCCACCCTTCCTAAAAGGGCACATCCCATGCATACACCGCCTTTGGCTACTGAATTTTTTACTCCTTAGCATGTGTTACTATCTGATACGTATTCTACTTATTTATTTTCTGTTTCCCTCTCACAAGAAGACTGAGGTTTATGAGGGTCAGGGCAGCAACTGTCTTGTTCTCAGCGCCCGTTCAGTATTTATTAAATGAATGAATAAACAATTGGATCATTCCTCCTTTTTTTTTTTTTTTTTTTTTTTTGGCAGCTAGCCCGGACAGGGGATCCGAACTCTTGAACTTGGTGTTATAACACTGCGATCTAAACAACTGTGAATATTTCCTTTTGTCAACCCTCTCTGTCCTACCTCGGGTTGCAAACCTGAGTCCATTGGCCACGCCCCCGAAGCCTGAGCACGCCCTAGGGATGCCGCGCATGCTCCGTCACTAGCCGGCCCAAGCTCAGCGCTGAATGGGCACAAACCATTTCTACTGATCATACCGGAGGGAGAGGTCGGAGAGAATCTTTTCCGTAGAAAGGGCAGAAGTTGCCTTTCTTCTTCCCTGAGGAATATCCCTGGACTAATGCTGCTGTGTAAGTGTGAGCTATGGCGCCGGGCCGGCTCGAGCCTCCGGACATCTCTCTGCCACGGGAGTCTTTGACTGGGTTTCCCCCCCTGGGGCTGCGTTGGTTCCGTCCGGCCCGGTCACGTGGGTGGCAAGATGGCGGTCCCCAGAGCGCGCTGGGAGCGTCGCGGCTGGTGAGGTGGTGGCCGCGGCTGTAGGAGCTGGCCGGGCCGACGGATCCTGTGTCTCGGGAGCTCGGTGGGGCGTTCCGGCGGCCGGGAGCACGGTGCGGGGCGCGGGCCTGCGGGCGGGTACGGAGAGGGCGCCTCGTTGGGGGCACCCGGTCTCTGGGATTCGTTAGCTGGGGGGTTGAGACGCCTCTTCCCGAGGGGTCCCGAGTCCTGGCGATCTCTTCCCTCCGGGTTCTGGGGATCCTGTCTCCGGGGATCCCTTTGCTGGCGAAGCCGGGGAGCCAGGGCATGAGGGGTCCCATGGCGGGCGACCGCTTTCTTGGGGTTTGGGGGACGCTGAGATCCATCCTGTGATGGATCCAGGCCTGGGGGATCCGCACAGAAGGATGTTGAGACGCCGGTCTCTCCCAAGGGGTCCTTGGGAGCTGGTCGTTGCTGGGGGATCCCGAGAGTCCCCCTTGAGGAATCCCCTGTCGGGGCGACACCTTTCTGGGTGGAAATCAAGTGACCGGAGAGCTTTCTGTTGGGGATTCTTAAGAGGTCTCAGGAGGGGTTTCCAGGACCCAGTCCCCTTCCATCCCTTATTAGTTCATCTCGTCTGTTTCTGAGACCTTCACAGGCTTGAGCAGATTCCCACATTCTGCCTTGGTTGGGGGCTGATCCCCTCAGCCCCCCACACCCACACCCTTGTCCCCCTTCCCACCAGAAATTGGGCCTGCGGTGTGAGCTGCGGGCTTCGAGGTAGCTAGGTGGGCCCTCCTTGTCTTTCTGCACACAGACGTGCGTTTGGGGCTCCCTGCGGGAAGGTTTAGTACTAGCTCTAGCTTACCAAGTGCGCACTGGGGAGGGTCTGCCTTGTTAAACAGGGTGGTCAGAATAGAACCTTGGGAGCTGTTAATAGTTGTATTCCAAATGAAGAGGCTGAGCTCAGAGACATCTGCTCCCACTCTAGGGCTCACCCTAGAGCTCTACACCTCTCCTCTCTTCGCTTCCCTCCTGAGGCTAGAGCTGCCTTCCTGGCCACAGATTTTCCTTCTTTCCCAGGAGTTTAAGATCTCCGGGGATGAGGAGGCTTTCTCAGATGTTTTGAGGGAGACCCCGCACAGACTGGGAGAAGTCCTGGGTGCTGTGTGCCTTTGAGACAAGTCGCTGTTCATGTGTGTAGAACAAGGAGTCGGGTCTCGATGGTCCTTAGTGCCCTGGCAGCTCACGTGCTCCTGGCTTCTGTGGTCTCTGATGGTCCCTGTTTCAGTGTGTTGTCCTCCCCAGATGGTCACCTGTGCTTAGGCAGCTGCACATCCCTCATTAAACCCAGTCGGCCCTGCTGATGCCACTGGAAACCAGAGAGGGCTGCTGGCATGTCACAGCCTGCTTGTCATGTTTATGAAGCGTCCCTAGGTTCTCAGCTGGTCTGGAAGGCAGAGGGGGGTCTTTTCTCCCAGGCTCAGCTGTATTATTTCATCCTGTTAACAATCATTTGTGGTTTAGAAGTTGACTGTGGAGCCAGACTGCTGTTCCTAACCAAGTTACTTAACCTGTTTGTGCCTCTGTTTCTTCGCCTGTAAAATGAAGACAGTCCTAGTACCTACTTCAGAGGGTTATGATGAGGATTTAATGAGTGAATGAATGTGTACAGGGTTTAGCAGAGTGCCTGGCACAGAGCAAATGCTACTTGTTATGGCTGTGGTTGCTATTCAGGACCTTCTGTATGCCGGTCATTGTGCTAAGTGCTGGGAACACACTGGTGACCAAGATAGACTCAGTCCTTGCCTTCAGAGTTCTAGTCTAGTGAAGGATAAGATGAACCATAAGCAACTAAACCAATAAATGTCCAATACAATGTCTAGTGGTAGCAAGTGCTTTGAAGAAAAATAAACAAGGGAAACAACGAGATGGAAGAGTAACATTTATAAATTTGATCAGGGAAGACTCCCCTGCGGAGGTGACATTTGAAACCCACATAAGTGAGAGGAAGAGCTGTGGGGGTATTTTGGAAAGACCGTTCCTCACAGAGATAATAGCACGTGCAGAGTTCCTGAGGCAGGACTGAGCCTGGTGTGTTGGAGGAGCAGCGAGGAGGCCCAGGTGGCTGCACTGGGGTGAGGGAGGGAGAGAGACGGAGGAGGGGAGGGAGGAGAGGGGATGGGACGGGTTGGGCAGGGCCTTTGGGACTGTCAAGGAGTTTAAGCAAGGGAGTGACACACTCCAGTTTATATACTGAAAGGATTCCTGAGTCAGTTACCTGAGCTGTCTAATAAATGACTCCACACTTAGCTTATTTATTTATTTATATATTTATTATTTGTTTTTGGTGGCTGGCTGGTTAAGGGGATCTGGTGTTATAACACCACACTCTGACCAACTGAGCTAACCAGCCACTTATTTATTTATTTATATATTTATTATTTGTTTTTGGTGGCTGGCTGGTTAAGGGGATCTGATCCCTTGACCTTGGTGTTATAACACCACACTCTGACCAACTGAGCTAACCAGCCGGTCCCCCATACTTAGCTTAAACAACAGTAAGCACTATCTTTCACAGTTGCTGTAGGCCAGCAATCCACATCTGGTTCAGCTGGGTGGGTCTGTCTCTGGTCTCTGACAAGGTTGTGGTTAAGACATAGGTTGGGTTTGCGTCATCTGAAGGCTCGCCTGGGGCCAGAGGAGCTGCTCTCAACCCCCTTTTCTCACACAGCTGTTTGTGGGAGGCCTCAGTTCCTTGCCATGCGGGTCCCTACTAGTGCTGCTCACGGCACAGCTGCTGTCTTCCCCCAGAGCCAGCGGGGAAGAAACCACTGTGTTTTTTATGCCCTAACCTCAGAAGTCTCACTGTCATTTCCTCCATATCTTATTGTCCACATAGGTCCTTCCAATTCAGAATCGGAGGGACCATACAAGGGCGTGAATGCCAGGAGGTGGGGAACATTGGGGGCCATCTTGCGGACCAGCTGCCACATCACTCTGGCTGCTGTGTGGACAGCGGACCATTGGAGATTATTGCTGATATGTAGGCGAGAGGCCTGAGGCCCAGAAAGGGAAAGTAACTTATGGAAGGCTGCACAGCAAGTAGGCGGATGGGAGCTGGGTTTTCAACCCAGATGCCCAGGCTGGTCAGCGGATAGGAAACCACCTGCCTGGTTCCTATGATTTTGTGAAGGACGCCTATAACCTGGGCTTTCGTTTTTCCATTGTAGGTTCTTACGCCCCTGAGTCCCCACAGTTGGCCCAAGCAGGGCTGCGGAAGGCCAGGGCCCATCAATAGGTGGGAGGCGGCAGGCACCATGGTGACGGAGCAGGAAGTGCAGGCCATCGGGCAGATGCTGGTGGACCCCAAGCAGCCCCTGCAGGCCCGCTTCCGGGCGCTCTTCACGCTGCGAGGACTTGGCGGACCAGATGCCATCACCTGGATCAGCCGGGCCTTCAGCGACGATTCAGCCCTGCTCAAGCATGAGCTGGCGTACTGCCTGGGCCAGATGCAGGACTCCCGCGCCATCCCAGTACTGGTGGACGTGCTGCGGGACACCTGCCAGGACCCCATGGTGCGACATGAGGCAGGTGAGTAACCGTGGCCCTCCTGCCTCACCTCTTCTGTGCCTGCCCTGGCCACGCAGGCACACACTCACAGGTGATTTAGATCAGGGCAGCCAACTTCTGTGAAAGTATTTTTCACAGAAAAATAGTATTTTCAGCCCCGTAAGCTAGACAGTTTCTCTTGCAGCAGCTCATAAAAGCCACCACCAGCCATCTGTCAATGAATGGCTGTGGCTGTGTGCCAATAAAACTTTATTTGTGGGGCCGGCCTGTGGCTCACTTAGGAGAGTGCGGTGCTGATAACACCAAGGCCACGGGGTTGGATCCCATATAGGGATGGCCGGTTAGCTCACTTGGGAGAGCGTGGTGCTGACAACAGCAAGTCAAGGGTTAAGATCCCCTTACTGATCATCTTTAAAAAACAACAACAACAACAAAACCCAACTTTATTTGTAAGTGCTGAGATTTGAATTTCACGTCATTTTCATTTGTCAGGAAGTGCTGTTTGTTTTTGTTTTTTTGGTTTTTTTGCGTGTGTGGCTGGCTGGTGCAGGGATCTGAACCCATGACTTTGGTGTTACCAGCTGATTTTTTTTTTAAGTCATCTAAAAATATAAAAGCCATTCTTATTGTACAAAAACAACTGGCGGGCCATAGATCACCAACCCTGATTCATATTAGGTTTCGTTTGTTAATTTTTTTTTTTAAACATCATCCTTATTTATGTATGTATATATATGTATGTATGTATGTATGTATGTATTTAGGTGGCTGGTGGATACAGGGAAACGAACCCTTGACCTTGGTGTTATAACACTGCACTCTAACCAACTCTGGGGTAGAACATTCTCTGTTAGAAGAGCTCTAACCAAAACCGCAGTGGGCATCTTGACACTTACCTGGGGCTGCCTTGAGGAATGTTAAAGATGCCAGAAAACAACCTAATGGAAACAGGCCAGGTTCGTGGCTGGAGTCTAAGGAGCTGGAAGCAGCTGGGAGCCGATGGGGCCACCATTCGGGTGGGTTTAGCGGGAAGCACGACAGGCCAGCTAACTGGCCAGCCCCCAGCTTTAGTCCATTAATTTGACAAACATTTCTTGAGCACCTACTATGTGCCTGGCCCTATTGTACACGTAGGAGACATAACAGTGACAAGAAAGAGACTCTGTTTTAGCGAGGGACACAGTAAATGAGACAAATAAGTAAAATATTGGCATGTCTGTGCTGCTGAGACCATTTCTTTAACCAGCGAGCTCATTTGCAATTAGCAAGAGGTGGGGGGGTGCATGACGAGGAGTGTGTGTTGGCACACACGGGAGTTTTCCCAGGCAAAGGTAGCCAGCCAGGCAGGTGTAGAAATACAAATTATGACCTTCAGCAGGAGAAGAAAAAACCACCAGCTCAGCCGCCACACCGGCAGGGCCCTTTGAGCTCTATTTTGAATCAATACACAGTGAGTGCATGTGCCCAGGGCTCCCACAGGGAGGTGCCCCCCACCTTGGCCAGCTTGCAGCCTGTTGTGATTCCTGCTAAACCCACCCAAATGGTGGCCCCATTGGCTCCCAGCTGCTTCCAGCTCCTTAGTCTCCAGCCCCAAGCCTGGCCTGTTTCCATTAGGTCATTTTCTGGCATTTTTAATATTCCCCGAGGCAGCCCCAGGTAACTGTCAAGATGCCCTTTGCGGTTTTGGTTAGAGCTCGTCTAACGGAGAATGTTCTACCCGAGCCCTTGCTTCTCCCATAAGTTCTGCCATCTGTAGTAGAATGCCAGATCGTGTCATGATGGAAACACTCAAGTGTCAAGGACGAAAATAACGCAGGGAGCGTGACAGGGTACTGGAGGTGTTGCAGTTTTTAATTGGTAAACAGCCTGGAATGACACAAGAGAGTTAACTGGGTAGATGTCTAGGGGAAGATGCTCCAGGCAGAGGCACAGCCCGTGCAAAGGTCCTGAGGCAGGACTGAGCCTGGCATGTGGGAGGAACAGTGAGGAGGCCCGTGTAGCTGGAGCAGAGGAGGAAGAGAGGGCAGGTAGGGGACGGGGCAGGTCGTGCAGGGCCTTGTGGGCTGCAGGAAAGATTTGGGCTCTTCCCCCTGGGAGGTGGGAGCCATGGAGGGCTATGGGCAGAAGAGGGATGGGACCTGACTCAAGTTCAGGCCTGCCAGGATGTTCTTAATCATGAGCAACAGCACTGTGAGCTCTGAATTTGCCGCAGGAGCTCGTCTTCGCCAGCCTCAGGTCTCCTCGGCTCGGCCCGTCTGTGCCTGTGGGAGATGGGCAGACTCCTCTGTCTGGTGCATGAGGCTCCGCCCAGTCTGATGGCCGCTGACTCTGAGCTGTGTTGCAGGACGCTTCCCTGGCCTGGTGTCTGTGCCCTTACCTCTGCCCTCTGGAACCCCCACACTGTCCCCCAGCATCAGGGCCTTGGCGTGTGCTGTCCCCCTTCAGCTGCATCCCCGAGTGTAATGACACGCTGGTCTCCCCATCTAGGGTCGTGGGCCAGGGTAGGGTTTATTTTGCTTTCAGCTGCAGCCTTGCATAGTTCCAGGCAAGGCCAAATTCTGGGGGAGGGACTCTGATTGGCCCTCAATGGACCTGTACCTGCTGCTGCTCCAATCAGCCGTGGCCAGGGGAGGGACCACCCTATCGAGGCAGAGATGCGGGAGGGATGTCAGCTGCCCGTGGCTCCCACAAGGCACCATCCGACGTGAGCTCTCTGGCTGGTTCTTCTCAGGGGAGGCACTGGGGGCCATCGGGAACCCGGAAGTTCTGGAGCTCCTGAAGCAATATTCCACAGACCCTGTCATCGAGGTGAGGCCCCAAGCCCCTCTCCCTGCCAGTCTCAGGTCTCTGGGAAGCTCTGCCTGGCCAGCGCCCTGGACCAGCCTGGTTGCCAGGGCGGCCGCTTGGTGAAGAATGTTCCAGGAATGAGGAAGGAGAGGCCAGCAGTGGGGACAGACACTTGCCACTGCCCCATTTGGCAAAACTGCAACAGAACCAGGTCTGCTCAGCCGGCCCCATCTGGGCCTTGAGGTCCTGGCCTCCCCTCTCCTCGCCTTCCACATGCAGGCCCTTTGCCAAGACCCGCCCCCACTGCTCTCCGTGTCCGTGACCCCACCCCGGCCCAACGGACCTCTCAGGGGGTTTCCGTTTGACATTTTTTCTTATGTATGTGCATATGGATGATGGATTGGCCAGTGTGGAGATTCGAACCCTTGACTCGGGTGCTATCATCAGCACTGTGCTCTAACCAACTGAGCTCACTAGCCAGCCCTGTTCTTTTTTTAAATAACAGCTTTACTGAGAGATCATTCACATACCAACACAATTCACGCTTTGAAAGTGTACACTTTGGTGGTTTTTGGTACATTCAGAGTTGTGCAACAATCACCAGTATTCCCGGAACATTCCTATCACCTCAAAAGGAGACCTCATCCCCATCAGCAGTCACTCCCCCTCCTGGTCCCCCCACCCCGGCAGCCACGAATCCACTTTCTGTCTCTGCGGATTGGCCTGTTCTGGACATTTCACATAAATGGAATCACACACTGTGTCACCTTCTGTGTTTGGCATCTTTCACTGAGTGTGACGTGTTCAAGGTCCATCCACGTGGTAGAGTGTCAGAGCCTCGTTCCTGTTTGTGGCTGAGTGATGTTGCAGCGTGTGGATGGCCCATGCTGTGTGTCCACTCATCCATGGATGGACACTGGCAAGTGCCACTTACTCTGGGTGTCTGTGATGCTCTCTGGCTTCTCCAGCCCCCATAGCCCCAGGTCAGTTCCCCTGAGCAGCCCTGACCACCTGGGGCTGGGGCAGGGGGTGTCCTACAGACAGAGAGCTCTTTGGCCCTGGATCCTCCGTCTCTTCTCCCCTCCACATGTCCCTGCCCCTGAGCTGACCCCTGTTCCCCTCCTGCAGGCCTGCGCTGTGGCAGCGCTCTCTTCCGCCATGAGGTCGGCTACGTCCTGGGCCAGCTGCAGCATGAGGCGGCCGTGCCCCAGCTGGCAGCCACCCTGGCCCACCTGGCTGAGAGCCCCATGGTGCGGCACGAGTGTGCTGAGGCCCTGGGTGCCATCGCCCGGCCTGCCTGCCTGGCAGCACTGCGGGCCCACGCGGCCGACCCTGAGCGCGTGGTACGGGAGAGCTGCGAGGTGGCCCTGGACATGTACGAGTACGAGAATGGGCCGGCCTTCCAGTACGCCGACGCGCTGCAGCAGCTGCGCCCGCCCCCCTCCTAGATGCCCCCTGCCCTGCCCCGGCTTGGGCCGGCCTGGCGGGGGCTTTCTGGGGACTCCCTGGGGCTGCTGCTCTCTGTAGGACTTTGGCGTCTATAAACTGGGTTTGTGAATCGGATCTCACTTCCCTCCCATCTGTCTTGACTCTTGCTGGGTGCAGGCAAGCTGTGCCCCCTCCTCATGGCTGTTCCCCTGCCTGGGACTGTTTGATGCTTTTGCATCCTGACTCCCAGAGTCCATTGGAAGCCCCCCAGGGCCTGGCACAGGGTGGCCTGTGGAAGTTTCCAGGCATGGGAGTTGGATGCTGGGAAATGGTTTGGGATATCCAGCTTGGCACAGGGTGTCTTAGGAGGGAACCCAGGGGCAGAGCTGGGGCTCGTGGAAAAGGTTGGGGTTACAGAGGCTCAGGCTTCACTAGGTATGGGGAGCAGGGTCTGGGGACTTCTAATACCCCACCCTTGGGGCCTGGGCAGGGATGGGGAGGTGGTCCCTGAGTGGGCTGGATTAGGGGCTGGGGAGCGACAAGCAGACCCCAGGACACTGCCCAAATGGAATATTAAATTATTTTTGCCAAGTGATGACTCCCCTGAGTCTGTTGGAGGGGAGAAGTGGGGGTGGGCTGTTCTCAAGGCACATGGCCCAAGTTCCTCCATGTGCAGCCCCGCGCAGCCCATTTACCTCTCTGTAAAATGGGTCTAGCAATAGAACCACATGTCCACGCTGTTTGTCTGCATCCCAGAAGCCTCAAACAGAAAGATTGGAGGCAAAACAACAAACTGAATGTCCATGCAGTGATTCTCAACTGGGTGATCCTGCCCCCAGGGGACAGTTTTGGTTGTCACAGCTGGGGGGCGGGGCACCACCGGCATCTGGTGGGCAGAGGCTGGAGATGCTGGAAGACCTCCTACAATGCCCTGACCCTTACAATAGAGTGATCTGGCCCCAAATGATTGCAGAGGTTGAGAAACTTGCCAAAGAGGGGTTCATGTGTTTGCTTAGCGGGTGCATCCCTCAGACTCTGGAAGGGGTTATACACTCCACCGCAGAGTCCTTGGGGCCCTTCTAAAGTAGTGGGTCTTGATCTCCTGCACATGTGGCCTGCTGTTCTTTTCCACCCCATTGGATGCGGCTGTGGCCATGTGACTGCCTTTGGCCAATGAGTGAGAGTGGGTGTGGCCCACGGCCCCAGGGGCTGAAGACCTAAGAGCCAGCCCACCTTTGCAGCCTGCTTCCTGCTGTCTGGGCGCTGACTGCTTCCCACAGACCAGCTGCTCCCATGGCCTGGGTCCTGGACAGCGAGGAGAAAAATGTCCAGCCAACCCATGGTGAACAGGTCACAAGAGCCAGCACTGAGCCGTGGTCACAGGCCACAGAGAGGCAGGCGTGTTTGTTACTGCAACAAAGTCTAAATCTCCTGACTGCTACACACCATGTTGTCTTCCTGAAATGTGGAAAGTGCTCAAATCTGAAGCCCGAGGGGCCTTGGGAATTTCACTGTGGGATTAAGGACTCCAGTATCTTCTATTCCAACTGCATTTTCTCCATGTCAGCGTCCCAAGCTCTGGTGTTCAGTTCTCCTATTACGGTTTCATGGCCTGTTCCCCTCTTGCTGTCTGAGCTGATGAATGACATCTCTTGTAAATCTCCAAGTCCTCCCTCATCCTCACTCTCAGCCGACGACCTTGCTTCCTACTTCAGGGAGAAAGCTAAACAATAAACCTGCACGCATTCCCACCGCCACGTCTGCCCACCTGCCCACCCCTGTGCCATCCCGTCCCCCCACTCCGCCCGCCAGATGCCAGTTGGTGAGCTGTTGGTTCTAGCAACGACCTGTGTAAGTTTCCTAATGCTGTGCAACAAATTTCTCCAAACGTAGCAGCTCAAAACACTGTACTTGTCTTGAATTGTGTCCCCTGTCCCCTCCAAAAAAAGGTATGTTCATGTCTTAACCCGCGGTACCTGTGAATGTGACCTTATTCGGAAATAGGGTTTTTGAAGGTCTTATTAAGTTAAGCATCTCAAGATAAGATCATCCTGGATTTAGGGTGGGCCCTAAATCCCATGACCAGTATCCTTATAAGAGACAGAAAAGGAGAAGACACAGAAACAGTTCCTGTGGGTCAGGAACCGGGGGGTGGCTCTGCTGGGGGGTCCTGGCTCGGGGTCTCTCCTGAGGCCTCAGTCAGGCTGTTGGGGCTGCCTCATCTGAAGGTTCCGCTGGGGCTGGCTCCTCAGGTGGCTATTGGGGGAGCCACTCCCCACAGGGACTCACCAGAGGGCTGCTTGTGGGGGCAGCTGGCTTCCCCCGGAGTGAGTGACAGAGGGAAAGCCATCAAGAAAGAAGCCCCAGTGGCTCTCGTTACCTAACCGATAATGCTAATTTCTATTGGTCACACAGGACACCCCTGACACAATGTGGAGGGTACCCGTGCCAGGAGGTGGGGGTCCTGGGGCCCTGTCTGGGACACTGGCTGCCGGAGCCACCTCCTCTGATTGCTCACTCCCAGCCCCTCTCGCCATCCCTGCCACCACTTCAGTCTTTACCCATCAGCACAGACGGGCTGTAATTTCTTAAAAACAAGAAAAAAAAAAACCCTTCCAACCTCACATTTCTCATCCCGCTCTCACCGTTTTCTTCTGCTTCTCTTCACAGCAAAAGCCCTCGGAGAGTCGGCCACCCACACCACCTGCCGTGCCTCTCCCCGTCTCTTAAGTCTGTGCCAACCAGGCTTCGCCCAGCCCTCCCGTCCCCAGATACTTCCCTGACCCGCGGTGCCCTCCCAGGGTCCAAATCCAAGAGTCACATCTCAGTTCCTGTCTTCGTCAGTGTCTGACCCAGCTGGTTGGTCCCCGTCATCCTGGAAGCTCCATCTGGGCTCTAAACCCTCCACCTCCACCTGACCATGCCCACGGTCCTGTCTCCAGCCTGGGTCCCCCCTGAGCTCCAGACTCGGGGCCCAGCTGCCCCTCGACGTCTCCATTTAGATATTGAGGAGGTGGCTCAACTCGCAAATACAACTCGAATCTAATAAAGGAGTCGCCTTCTGTTTGCACAGTACACACGAGGCCCAGAGCTTTTTCACATCCTTATAATTCCTTCTGCAACACACCACGAAATTCTGGCAGCCCCATTCTACAGAGAAGCCCGCAGAGCCCAGGAGAGCCAAGGTCGTGCAGCCACGGCCAGAGCTGGGATCTGACCCCGGCTCTCCCTCACCAGCTCGTACTGCCTGATCCTGGCTCCCTGGCTCTGTAGAATTCCTCCTTCTGCTCCCCAAGTTGCTCCTGCTAGCATTTGTCTAAACCCCATCATTCCAAGTGCTCGGCATAAAAACGCTGGGGTTTGATCAATTTAAAATTTCTCGCTGGGCCGGCCCGTGGCTCACTTGGGAGAGTGCGGTGCTGATAACACCAAGGCCCCGGGTTCGGATCCCATAATAGGGATGGCTGGTTCGCTCACTGCAAGTCAAGGGTTAAGATCCCCTTACCGGTCATCTTTAAAAAAAAAAAAAAAAAATTTCTCATTCACTCTGCTCTGGCCACACGGGCCCTCTCGCTGTTCCTGCGACACGCCAGGCACGGACCTGTCCCGAGGCTTTGCTTGCCTGGAACATTCTTCCCGTCGGTACTCCCATGGCTGGTTCCCTTCCTCCTCCAGGTCTCCACTCAAATGTCACCTCCTCAGTGAGGCCTTGGCTACCCTATTTTGTTTTATTTTTTGGCGGCTGGTCAGTTCGGGGATCTGAACCCTTGACCTTGGTGTTATAACATGGTGCTGTAACCAGCTGAGCTCACCGGCCAGCCCTCTCGCCGGTACTCCCATGGCTGGTTCCCTTCCTCCTCCAGGTCTCCACTCAAATGTCACCTCCTCAGTGAGGCCTTGGCTACCCTATTTTGTTTTATTTTTTGGCGGCTGGTCAGTTCGGGGATCTGAACCCTTGACCTTGGTGTTATAACATGGTGCTGTAACCAGCTGAGCTCACCGGCCAGCCCTCTCGCCTATTTTTCAACAGTAACCTCCATGAGGGCGGGTTTTAGTCTGTCTGATTCACAGTTGTGGCCCAGCTCCTAAGAGAGTGCCTGGCCACAGTAGGTGCCCGAGATGTATGAGATGAACAGAGAACCAGCCACGTGGAAGCCTGGGGGCGGGGCACGTTCAGGAGAACAGCACGTGCAAAGGCCCTGAGGTGGAGACAGATGTGCAGAGTAGTGGCCAGTGTGGCTGGAGCCGAGGCGGGAGGGGGCCAGCGGGCGGAAGTGATTTGCGACTTTATTCATCTGGGCAGATGGTGGCCGTGGGGGAGCCACCCAATCCTCTTAGCTCAAAGCCCGTTAATACTTCCGCTGCGTGGGTCACCTCCGGCGCTCTGCTGCTCCAGGTGGCTGCCATGCCAGGGCTGGCGGATGAGGAGGCGGCCGAGGGCTGGAGCCCGGCCCCGCCGCTGTATGAGGAGTACCGGCCGCCGCCGCTGGACGCCATCCGCCTGCCCAGGTACGTGCTCTACCTGCTGCTGGCTGTGTTCCTGGTGGTGGCCGTGGCCTACGCCATCGTCGGACACCTCATCAAAGACCTCGCCCACGACCTGGCCGGTGAGCCGCTACCCACTGCGAGTGTGGCCTGGGCTAGTGTCCAGGGTCCGAGGGGGAGGACCTCAGGGGAAGGGGTGCAAGGGCCTCTCCCAGCCAGAGAGGGAGTATGGGGTGGATGGGACACTGCAGAGGCCGAGCGTCTCTATGGGGTGGCCGGAGAGGCTCCTCACCAGCTTCCCCACCGCAGACTGGGCCTTTGGCCCGAAGCCCGACCAGGAGGACGCCCCCCGGGAGCTGCGTCCCAGCCTGGCAGGCGAGGACCTGGAAGAGCTGGACCTCCAGCTGGCCCTGGCCTGGCGGGGCGACGAGGACGCCGGCGGGGGTGGCGAAGGGGTCCCTCTGGAAGCTCCTGCTCAGACCCCACATCGCTCTTCCATCACCTTCAGGGATCCACCAATCCGAGGCTCCTTCTGGAGGCTGAACTGAGCCAGGCCCTGGATCCGGGTTCCCACCCTTTGGTGGTTGTGTAGACCGGATTTGTGCACCCCGGAGCCCTTTCTGTGCTGACCCGGCCTGCCATGATGGAGAACGTTCTCTTTCTTGGCTGCCTGGTTCCAGGGGTTGGACCTTGGCTATTTCCACGCTCCAGTACCCCTGGAGCTAACTCCACTCAGCCTCAGCCAAGTGATCAGCAATCTATGAACCAAAAACACGACGATGAATTAAAACATTACAGTAGTAGTTGCTAACCCTTGCCTGGTGCTTAGTGCGTGCCCGCTGCTGTGCGAAGCAAGCCCTTTCCATGTATTAGCTCATTCAATCCTCCGAGGTAGGACTTATCACCCCCATGTAACAGATGGAGAAACTGAGGCACATGGCGGTGCCTTTGAGCAGCCAAGGTCTCAGAGCAGAGAACTCTCGTAAAGAGACGGGTCGAGTGACTGACCTCAGTCAAAGCCATCGCCGCTCGGTCCCTGCGGCAGGGAGAGCTGGGGGATTGCCGAGGGTGTGACCCTGAGGCTGATGATTCTCAGAGCGGGGTGCAAGGGGGAGGCGTGGGACTCCACGAGTTAATTGTTACACCAGGTCGGAGTCTGCAGCCGAGTGAGGGGCGTGGGCAGGAGCTGGCGGGGGAGGGGAGGAGGCCCCAGCAGGGCTGTGAAGGGAGGGACCGGGTCTCAGGGTTTCCTCCGCCCCTGGGCCCTGCCTGCAGCCCTGTTATCACGGGCCGGGCAGGGTCTCGCCCACACACAGGCCTGAGGACACCGACCCACCCTGGGACTGCTGCTGGCTGCCTGGCTGCTGGCTGGAGGACGGTCATGGAGACCCTGGGGACCCTTCTCGTGCTTGGAGCGCTGCTCCTCTCCCCCGCCGAGGCCCAGGAGGGTAGGGCAGGGCTGGCAGGAGGGTGGATTCGTGGGGACGGGGTTGGTCACGGGCTCTCCATCTCCGCATTTTCCATGATGAGAAACTGAGGCCTCGGAGAGGGAGGAGGAAGATGAAAAACAGGGGTAGGTCCCTCCCGGGGTCCCCCTCCCGGTATGGACTCTCTCCCTCGTCTCTAAGACCCCTCCCATCTGCACGCCCTTCCTCTCTCCCGATCCCCCCCTGAGCACTCCATCTCCGAGCTCCACTCCTTTCCCAAGAGCCCCTCTGTCTGAGCAGCCCCCTAGTCCTCTTCGCCCTCTCTCCTTCCCTGGTGGGCGGCCCCTTCCCTTTCCTGTCTCTGACTGCCGCCCCGCCCCCCACTGCCCTCTCACAGCCACAAAGCGTCGCTGGAAGCCCTGGCTGGTGGGCCTGACTGCTGTCGTGGTCTTCCTGTTCATCGTCTACGTCCTCATGCTGGCCAACCGCATCTGGTGTTCCAAAGCCAGGTGGGGGCCCCACCCTGCCGCCACCCAGGCAGCCCCCGGCCCCTCCCCCTCATCCCTCCTCCAAAGTGCTGCCCCCGCCCCCAGCTCCCTCACCCTCTCTGGTCCCCATCAGCCCCGATGTCCTGAGGTCTCCCTATTTCCCTCGTCCTCCTGGGACCCCCCACCCTCGAGCCCAGGCCCTGGTCTGCACCTGCCCACCCCCGTGCAGCCCACCCCTCCTTGTTTCCTGGGGTTCATGAACCCCAGGGGTCAGGGGGAACCGAAGCTGAGCTGTCCTCCCCTCCGCCCTTCACCCCAGCCTCATCTTCATCTCCGCAGGGCCAAGGACGAAGAGGAGGCTGACCTCAGAATGGAGACCAACCCGTACCAGGATGTGGACCTGAGGTACCGTGTGCGTGTGCAGCGTGGGCGGGCGAGTGACGCCTCCTCCGGGTGGGGGTGGCATGCACGGGTGACCTCTCACTGTCCTTGAACACCGCCAGCGCCTTCCAGCCCCAGGACCTTTGCACGTGCTGTTCCCCTGATTGGAAACCCTTCCCCCGCACCTTCCTTCAGTCCCTGCGCAGGCACGTCCTGGTCACAGAGTCCACTCTCCGGACGTGACCCTCCGCCCACAGCCCCGCACCTTTTCCGCTTCATTTTACCACTTACCTCAATCGTCTGCTGGCTTCATGACACTAGCGGTTGCCTTTCAATAGGCGAGACTTAGCTTTTGTCCTGGCTGCGTCCCCAGTGCCCAGAACAGGGCCTGGCACACAGTAGGCGCTTCATAATGACCTGCTGAACAAGACTGGGGTGTGGGTTTGTGTAGGTGTCTGTGCATGAACACGTGACTCGGTGTGGGAGACCCTCGAGATTCAGCGTGTCCTATGGTTCCAGACATGGCGATTCTGACTGCGGGCTTGAGGATGCGATTGGGGATGGGGGCTCTGCCGGGGGAAGGTCCCAAGTTGGGCCAAAGCTTTAGACAGGAGGAGGAGTGGGGAGCTGGGAGAGCAGCCTGCCTGGAAGATGCTCAGCTGAGCCCAAGGTGTGCCTGAGGGAGAGGTGTGGACCGAGTGCTGGCTTTGTCTAAGACCCAGCTCAGCCCCAGTAAAATACGATTCCTCCTTGTAGGACGTGTTGGAGGATCAAATCCTACTGATGTTGTAGTTTCCTCCCTGCCTAGGTCACTCCACTCACCCATCACCACACGTATCCACCCGCCCACCCGTCCACCCACCCACCCACTCGCCCGCGCACTCACCCACTGACCCAGCCACCCGCCCTCCGCCCGTCCATCCACTTGTACATTCGTCTGTCCATCTAGCTGTGCGGTCCTCGCCCTCCAACCATCCATCCATCAGTCTGCACAGCCATTAGCCCGTTGGTCCATCCGCCACCCGCCGATCCGTCATTCTTCCTGCAGTGTGTTCACTCCCCTTCCCATTTACTTATTCACCCTCCGTGCAACCATCCATCCACCTAACTACTTACCTATTCATACGCTCACCACCCGCCGCCCACCCACCCATACCTGGAGCAAGCGAGTCACAGTTTCTGCCTTTGTGACATGGACGTCACCGGGTGCCTGGTGAGGGCAGTGCCGAAGACCCCGTGAGGTGCTTCCCATAAAACGCTCATCGCACAGGCTGGCGCGGATGAGTGTCCACGAAATAGCAGCGACTCTGTTTCTTACTCTGGTGCGGGCTTCTGTACCCCTACAGTGAAGGAGACCGTGGGGAGGAGAAAGAGAGAAGAGAGAGAGAAGGAAAGAAGGAGAAAAAGGCAAAGAAGGAAGGAGGGGGCAATGTGGGGGACAAAGAGGACCGCAGACACCACGAGCCAGTAAAGAACACGGCCTTGTGAGACGCCCTGCCGCCGCCTCCAGGCAGCCCCCCAGACGTGCCCCCTCCACACCCTCTCAGCAACGCCTTGGACTTGAAGCCAGTGAAATGACTCCGTCTGGGAATCAGAATAATGTTCCCAAATGAAGAGGATTGGGGACCCACCCCACCTCCCTCAAGGAGGGCTCTTGGGGTATTACACGGTCTTTATACACTTCGTCCTAAGCTTGATCCCGTCTGGTGATTCTTTTTGCACTTGGGGAGCATCCCTGATTAAAGAGAAACCCCCAACCCCCCACAGTCTCATGGCTCCACTGCCTGATTTCTTTTCCCTCTGCCTGATCTCTATTGGCTGGACCTCCCCCACTCCCACGTAGCTTTAGGGTTAATATCAGCCAAGGGCTGCCTCCTGAGGGCTGGCATTAAAGAATTGATAAGAGCCCTTTAGAAGGGCTCCTGTCATCTCTTGGGACTCAGTTTCCCCCTGGGGGAGGCTGCTTTGGAGTTGGCAGCAAGGCCTGGGTGAGGAGGATCACTGCATGGAACCCAGATGCCCTGCGCAGATTAAACACTCCCCCTGCAATCTTGTTTTTGCTGCCCTGAGCCCTGGACTTTGAGCCCCCAGTGCTGTCTCCTGGGAAATCCTTGGTCCTTCCACCCATGTTTTGTGGCACGTGACTCTGTTTTGGGGCACTAGGTCATGGGAGCGGGGAAGGGTCCCCCATGGCCTTGCAATATCTCAGAAAGGGACAAACACTTTCTCTTCTCACCATTTCCCCCTTTCGCCTCGCTTTCTCCGGGCCCTGGACCTTGCCATGGACATTAACCACCTCTTATTGAGGACCTTGACAAAGGCTGGCATCTGGAGCCCTGTTCTGGGGCTGGTGCCTGGGGTTCCAGGAGGATCCAGCCCAGAGGGCGGGGAGTTTCTGTAGGAGAACACCTCCAGGATTGTCCACCAGGGGGTGGAAAAAGCTTAAATAAATGATATTGTATAATAAATGGCCCCATCGGTGCTCTCGCTGAGCGGCTAATACCTTCGACCTCTCATTCTCCAGTAGCAGGTGATTCACCCCGTTTTCCAGATGTCAGTACTGAGGTTTAGCAAGAGGGGAGTCACTGGAGCAGTGATCTCTGGCTGATGGCAGAGCTGAGACTGGAACCCAGAGATGTGCGTCTGTGTGGATTCCGGCCAAGGTCAAGCTGAGAGGATCCCGTCCTAGGATGGGGTCGGGGCTGTTCTTTCCTGGCTATGATTCCCAGCTGGGAGACCAAGAACTACATTCCTTTGGAATGCTGTGTGGCCCTGGGAAGGTGGCCCAACCTCTCTGAGCCTGGAGTTGGCTCCTTTAATGCAGCGTGAGGACAAGAGTTCTAACCACCCCAAACTCGAGACTCTCGTGAGACTAGATGGAGGCCTGGGGCTGACAGAGCCATGTGTTGGAGTCAGCAGGACTGAAGCCATGTTGGGACCTAAAAAAACCACACGGGCTCTAAAAGATTTTAAAAGGACAGGTTTTTTTCTTAGCATGCATTTTTCTGAGTTCCCTCTTTTCCCACGGTCATTTGATATTTTGAACCTTGGTTATGGGATAAGATGACATTATTTGCGTGAACGTAAAGCTGTTTTCCAGCCAGCCTGGAGCTGCAGACTTGCTGGTACTGTCTAAGGGAAACTAAGGAAGACCTCACTAGAGCTATGCTGATTCCACCGCTGCAGCAGGACCATGAGAAGACAGTGAAACCAGACGGAGAAACCCGACGGAGTCTTGACAAGACTGCACCTGGCCTCTTGCACGTCCCCCTCCGTCCTGGTTTTCATTTTCCACGTTCCTTTCCCTCACTTCCTCTTTAAACCCCCCCTGAAACCCTAAAGCAGGGAGACAGCTGTAGTCTGTCTCCTCGGACGCCTGATAATAAACTTCTTGCCTCGCACCAGCATTTGGGACGATGAGTTGTTTGTTTCTGAGCAGAGAGCAGCGGGACCTGGACGCAGGTAACAATCGCAAGGGTTGTCACGTCGTAGGTGCTCAGGAAATGAGTCCCCACCTTCTCTGGCTGCGGGGAGTTGGGAGTCAGGGTGGGCCTCAGGGACACGGGGTGCTGAGATGCCTAAGTCACTCCCTAGGGAAGGGGGAGCGCCCCCACTTCCTGGGGTGTCCCGGGCAGTCCACTTCCTCTTCTGGCCCGGTCTTCATCCCACAACCTGCTGGACAGACCCCGACGGACAGATCCTGGAAGACTTCCAGCCCATTCTCACAGCCCAACCCCGTAAGGTCTCAGCAGGAGGGAGACAGGGGTGGTCCCAACGTTGCTGCCCTTTCCCTGCTCACAGTGGCCAACAGGAGGCTGTGGCTGGGGGCTCTGGGGACCGTGCTAGGCTTCCTCTTGTCTTTGCAGTGACTGTGATCTGTGCCATCTGCTGCAGTGAGTCCCCCCTCCTGTCCGAGCCCCGCCCCGCTCTGAGCCCCTCTGCGCCTTGAATCCCTGCCCCCCAGCCCCTTTTCCGTCCCAGCCCCTACCCCCCTCAGCCCCCCCCCCCGCTTCTCTGAACCCCTTCCTGTCCTGTCCCAACTGCCCTGAGCTTCCTGGACACAGGTAATGGGAAGGGGGGCCCAGGACTGACTCACAGGGGTTTTGTGAGGACTGTAAGGGACCCGGGACACTGTCGGTCCTTCCTAAATCGGACAATCGAGGTTTTAAAAGATCTGGTCCCTTGTCTTCATAGCAATAAAGAGAAGGAAGAAAAGACTGGGGAACAGGAGGGGAGGGGAGGGGAGGGACAGGAGGGGCTGAGGCTGGTGGGGGAGGGGCTTCCAAACCGGGAAGGACTGGAGGGCGCCTCTATGTCAAGGCTCCAGCCCGCTTCCTCCAGGCAGCCCTCCAGACATGCCCCCACGCCTCCTTTAAGTCCTATAAGAAACTACCCGGACCTGGGGTCAACGAAATAACTCCATCCCCTGTTCAAGGAAAAGAGTCCCCGAATACAGAGGGCTTGGGACCCACTCTCTTACAAACCCCTTTCCTAAGCTTGGTCTCCACCCGATAACTCTTCTCAAGCTTGGAGGGCACCCCTGGACAAGGAGCTCCCCAACTATCCCATGTCTCTGACCACTCTCCATCTCAGGCATCCTTTTTACCTGCCACCTGATTTCTTTCCCCCCCTCTGATTTCTATTGCCCTTTGGGTTGCATCAAAGAGGTCCGCTGCCCTCCTGCCGTCCCGCCTCCAAGAGCTTTCTAGGCCTCGCTTTAATGAGTCCATAGGGGTCATTTGGCTCCCCGCCCCTCTCTTGGCTTTGGTTTGCATGTGTCACAAGGGGGGAGTGGGGGAGCCTCCAGCACATCCCGCCCAAGCCCCCTTTTCACGGGTAAGTGCTGCTTCCAGGGGAAGGCGGACAGAAGCCAAGCAAAAGGTCCTGCCCGTCTTCACGGTCTCTGGGCAGAGCCAATCCTGCTCCGGTGACTTTGCTTTCTCTGCTCCTGCACGTGGACTTTGAGTTGGCTCAGCTGTAGGGCCGTCTCCTGGGAGATGGGGGCCCCTCCCGCCATGTGCAGAGTTTCAGGGTGCTGCTGTGGGTGGGGACACCACAGTATCCGGAGTCCCAACTTCCTTGCTGTGTGACCTCAGGCAAGTTCCTTAACCTCTCTGTGCCTCGGTGAGAGGGAGGATAATAACTGGATCCTTTATAGGCGGTCACGAGGATTAAATGAAATAATGTGTACAATCATCCTGTGTCCAGGACCGGGAACCCAGAAGGCGTCTAATAAATGCCAGCTTTTGTTATGCTGAACCGGTGAGCATGGGGTGGGTGCAGGAGCCTCCCCCGTCAGACATGAGGGACCCTGAAGGTCAGAGGGTGTGCACAGGAGTTTTCTCCCTCCAGTCCCTTCGGTGGGAGGTCTGGGGGTTCCCTTGGGTCTTGGGGGGTCGTAAAGAAAAGAGGACGGAGAACCCGTCCAGGCCCCCCCTTTCCGAGGGGGGCGGAACTTCCCCACTAGGGGCGCTTGGAAATATTTTTTGCGGGGTGCTGTTGGGTTGTCACAAGCCTGTCCCCCTTTTATGGTGGGGAGCCAGGGATGGCGGACAGTCTGCAGTGCTGGGACAGCCCCCCCAAAGCCAAGACTTACTTCACCCCAGAGTCCAATGGCTGAGGAACACTGGGGTTTTTGCTTAAAACCCGAGGGCAGGCTGAACCCCCCAACCGGCTGATGCCCGGCTGTGCAGCCGCTCCCGCTAGGGCCCGCCGCCCTCCGCCGCCCGCAGGCCCGTTCCCCCGGGACCTGGCTCCTGGGTCCGGGTCCCCGATCTGCCCACAAGGGGGCGCCAGAACCTCGCGGCTGAAGGCGGAGGCGCCCACCCATGTCGGGGGCGGGGCCTGGTCCGAGAACGTGTCCCCTCTGGGGGGCCTCCGACCCCCACCCCCGCCCGTCCTGAGTGTGTCTTCAGGGCGCGGCGTCGTCCTGAGGGCCGTGTATCTGCGTGTCAGCGTGGGCAGTGTGCCTCAATGCGTCTCGCCTCCCCTCTTTCTGCCTCAGTTTCCCCATCTGTAAAAAAGGATAGAATCGTCCCTGCCTTGGGTAGGATGGAAGGAGCCCGTGCAGCAAAAAGAGCTTTGCTTGCCCCTCTTGGGGTCTCGGGGAGAAGAAGTGACTGCCCCCCACACCGTGGTGCCCCCCTACCTCATAGCCCCCTCCTCTCTGACCTCAGTCTTTGAGGAGCCCCTGGGCTGGGAAGGGCACGACATGCACATGGCCAGCCCTGAGCGGTCAGGAGGGAGTGAGGGAAGGAGTTGCTCAGAAGGCCAGGGGATCTGCCTGGGCAGGTGGGGAAGCCGTCCTGGAGGAGGGGGTCCTAGAACCAAGTCAGGTCCTCTCTCCACTGCCCACAGCCCTCCACGGCTCCCACCTCCCTGGGGTAAAAGCCCAAGTCCTCCCCCTAATGCCCTGTATGACCTGCTGCATCCCCACCCTCCCCTCCTTCCTCGCTCTGCTCCAGCCACACAGGCCTCGCTGTTCCGCCAACACACCAGGCTCGGTCCTGCCTCAGGGCCTTTGCACGGGCTGTGCCTCTGCCTGGAACGCTCTTCTGCCTGATTTTGGGGCGCTCATTTCCTCCCTCCATCCGGGTCTCTGTCTAAATGCTACCTCCTCATGTGAGGCCCACTCTCCTACCCTTATTTGCTTCACTGGTCTCCCTGACACTTACTTCTTCTAACTTTTTGACTTATTTTTACTGTTTACTGTTCTGCCCGCCTTGGAAGAAGTTGT